TGGACCACCTTACCAGATTACCGTGTTGTACAAATACACTTTTTCTTTTGCCCCAGCGCTGAGGCGCACCTGTCTGAGTTTTGTGGAAGCCACTATCGCGGCACAGGGCTATTGCGGTTGCGGCGCTTCAACAAATCTGATAGCATACTTTCGGTTACGTGCAAGTCATGCCAGCACATTTATATTATTTTTCACGCCGATTCTTCGGCGAAATTGCGGCGATTTGGGGGCGGAGGGGTGGAGATGGGGATATGATATGACGGAAGTTGAACCCTGTTTTGGAAGTATAACACTGGATGAAATTATCCCTTTTTTTTCATCAAAAAAGCGTGATGAAATCATGTTAACCAATGCAATTTTACCCTTTAAAAAAAAAAAAAAACTTCAATAATATCATATTGAATTTGTCCTTACTTCTTTCACCTGTTTGATTTTATTGTTTACAATATTTTTAGTTTTACTTTGGGCTATTGTAGAGTTCACTTCATATTAGCATGAAGTAACTTTAAGGGTTAAAAAATTTTATTTATCAGGGGGTTGTGTTGTACTTATAAAAATTTTTTTGTTTTAAAAAAATATAAAATATTAATTAAAATTAATAAAAATATATAAATCAATTACAAATAATAAATTTAAATTTTTAAATAAAATGTTGTGTGAGAATGTTTGTATTAAGCATGCCAAAACCTAAATATGTTATGTGAAAAAAAAATGCACACTAAGGAAAATAAAAATGAAATATATAATTTAAATATAAAATAAACTACTGCATTAATTATTAATTGATTTTAACTTGAATACCCATTTTGCGTTCAACATACATGTCAAATTTTTACAAAATTTATATCAAAAGAATTTAATCTTAAAATACATGTAAGGAATATTAGCATGACACCTTTATCCAAGGACCACAATCCTAATTTAGTAATTTGGAACAGGCGGAATAAATTTCTAACCCATCTCATTTAAGGCTTGTTTATTAACGCCTGTTTATTACGACAGTTAAAATTCAACGGATAGTAGAAGTGAAAAGTGGATACGGATTCGATAAATATAACTATTTAACTATACAATGGTTAATAATTATTATTTAATATTAAATAACTAATAAAGACATGTTTAAAAATAAATAAGTGTATTTTTTAAAATATTTTTATTTTTTATTATTAAAATCATTAATTTTATAAAAATAATAATAAATAGATAAATAAAATTAATTATAATA